TAATTACTGAGCACAGAACTTTAAGAGTAATGAATTTATCGGGCCCTTTTGCAATGCAATTTACTACACATTGCTCGTTGTCGATTAAATATTAACCGCACACATTCTGACAAGAATAAATCTAACGAGTAATTTCAACTTACTAAATGGCAACATAATTACAGTTCTGCAAGAAAACAATTTTCTAAAATTATATATGCACAGTTTTCTATTTGGACATACAAGTGCAGCATTGTTTTTTACCAAAAGTAATTTCAATCTTCAAATATCTACTTGAAGCATTCAGTGTTGAGTGAACTTTTTGGCTACAAGTGCAGCATTGTTTTTTACCAAAGTAATGATTGGCAATTCCTATATTGGAGCTAATGAGATATTATTTAAAATTAATGTGCTTTTAATCCTTGTTTAACATAATGGTTTAGCCACGGCCGGCCGACAAAAAATCAAGAGCGCCGTCCTAGAGTTTTCCTCAAGAACCATAGCCTTTGGTTAAAGAAAAAAGAGGGATCATTGAGTTTATAATAATTCTAACTTTGAAACTTAATAGTAATTAAGTATCTCTCATCATTCAGTAACATGAACGACCAAATGATTAGCCCAAAGATTGATTAAAAAATTTGTACTTTTATAGACAAATTAAGTGGTGTATGGCTTGTAAAGAGGATGGAAGTGGGTTTAGGAGCTGCTTGAGCCTTTTGGCCATACGCGGTCTATATTGCCCCCTATAAGATGCATGATGGAGCTTTTCGTGCTAGTTGGGTTAGTGCCCTAAAGTTTAATTTAGCTCATAAGGATTAATTCCACTGTTAAATTGGTCACATACCGTATTTACAGTGGAAATAAATTCATATGCAAAACATATAAAGAACATAATGACGTGATTCATGGTTTATTTGTAATTAACTCATTTTGGCTACGACGAGACGAGCATATTGCGGTTCTTTTTATAATTTTCTAAAAGACTCGTCTTATTAAAAGTCACATTTGTAAATGATAGAGTTCATGTACTTTGTCCTCCTCCATTCACCCAAGAAATTAGGTGGCATATTTACATCAGTAAATAGGGGTTTAACTTACACATTTTGGCAATATGAGGTTGATTGAGAGATGACATTGATAAGTATAAATCATGCCCATTTTCCCTTCTTAGTCGATCTTGTGACAAAACTGATGATCACATTCCAATTGCCAATTAGGAAGCTTGCATGTGGTGAAGTAACTGATTCATTCATCGCCTCAAACGAAACAGAAAACGATTGATTGATTGATTTGCTAGGCATATTTATTGGTCTTGTGCCTCTCAACATCTCCAACTACTCTAATGATCCAAGAGTGCAACTTCAATAGTCTAACCATCAAAAAATGCGTAATTTTCATTAGAGCTCAGTGGAAATTCTCACGGAAATAATAGAAACCTTGTTGATCCCTCAATTGAATTCCAAGAAAACAAAGAAAAAAACAATCTTATTTTAGTTAATGAACCAAATTTGTCTTCAAGAGGCTACAAAACAACACCTGAATTCAGAGTCTTATATACACAATTTATTGATCGAAGAGTCACAAGGGGGAAAAAACATTATAGAATTTTCTAGTCTTTATTCTACACGTGCTACATGTTCTACGCTGGAGTGTTGTTAACAATCGTCGAAATTGCAAAAAGTGTAATGTTACATTTATCATATTTATTAATTATACTGCTAATCACTTATGTGAAAATTTTAAGTAAATTTGATAATAATTTTATCGTTGCAAACAACACAAGAAAACTTAGACAATTTAAGGTAGGGTGTACAAGATCCAATTCAATTTGCCCAAATTGACTAATCCAATCTAATCCAATCCAATTTCAATTTGTTTCGATGATTTGGCGGATTGGATTGGATATGTAATTTTGAAAACCGATATGATTGGATTGGATGACGGATTTGCTCATGAGAATCCAATCCAATCTAGTTAGTTTTATGCTTATTTTGCTCCCCGTTTGGTTCATGGAAAGGAGACTTGGGGATGAGAAATCAATTGCTTTCTCATGTTTGGTAAGTCCAGACATGAGAAATTGTTGTCTAGCCCATAGGAAAGTAGGGGGGAAAGTGAAGCCATCCTCCTAACTTGGGTTTTCTTTTCCCTCCTTGTGGGAAAGTTGGGAAAATGAGCCAATATTAAATAAATATTTTTCATGACCATTTTGTCCCCATTAACAATTTAGAATTACAATATATCATTAAATGCATTCTATTTTTATTTGATTTAATATGGGTATGATTGCAAATTTATACAAACTTTGTTTTCCATTCCTATTCAAAACAAACATGGGAAATGAAATAAAATGATATTTCTGGGTTACTTTCCTAGCATTACCAAACGTGGGAAATGAATCTTCCATTTCCCCTATATTGGGAAATGACAAGGGAAACGATTTCCCCTCAAATTCGTTCTATTAACCAAACGGGGCCTTTAGGTATTTGTAGTTGAAAAGTTATGAATATTTAAAGTCATTTAATGGAGTTATGTTTAATGTATTATATAATCAAAACAATTTTATCTAGTATTTCATTTATATTTTACATTTATGTCTATTAATATGTTTGGTTAGATTAAACCTAAGGATAAATGTTTAATATTCCATTACTCTTTTTCCATTATCAAACCCGATCACCCAATCTAATATCAATTGGATCAGATCAGATTGGATTTAAACATCTAATATGATTAGATCAGATTGAAAAAATCACGATCCAATCTATATTGGATTGAATACGGATTGACTAAATATCTTGGTTTCGAACCAATATACAATTGGCATGCCTCTACATGTCAATATGAAAACTTGGCAATGGCCAATAGGTAACTTGCCCTCCACTTTACATTGCAGCACCATATAGTTAAGAACTGAGGTCCTAGCATTTAGGCTTTACAGAACATCCTATAAATATATGAGCTCAAGGAAAGAAAATATAGAAAAGCACAAAAATTTGTGCTACTTTGAAGTTTGAATAAATAGGTTGCATATAACTTGATGGGCTCTATCGCATATTGACACATAAGATGGTGACTGTTATCACATTTGAAATTCTATAATGAGGGTACCATATATAGACCTCTCATGTGGATCTCCATAGTAGCCATAAGATCATTTTATTAAACTTAAGTGAAGTTACTATTTAGATGAATATGTGGCTAATATAAAGGTCCACATCTATAATTCATATATGACACCCTCACCATAGAATGACTCGTCACCATATGCCTATTTCATAAACTCCTTTCCCCTATTCTTTTTCAATAAAATGACTTTATTTTCATCTTTTTCCAATCAGTAGTCACTAAAGTAAAGCTTGAACATGACCTCATGTAAAGCCAAATTAGGCAAATCTAAAACTTAACCCTTGATTAATTAAAGTCTTAATTGAAAAAAAATCCACATTGTCATTCCAAATCACCTATATTTACATCACCTACTTTAAGCTAAATAGTAATATGATTGGATTGGAATTAAACATCTAATATGATTAAACCAGATTGAAAAAATCACGATCCAATCTATATTGAATCGGATGCGAATTGACTAAATTGTATTGGTTTCAAACCGATGTACACCCGGCATGCCCCTACATGTCAATATCAAAACTTGGCAATGGCCAACAGGTAACTTGCGACCCACTTTACTTTGTAGCACCATATAATTAAGAATTGAGGTCCTATCATTTAGGCTTTACATAGCATCCTATAAATATATGAGCTCAATGAAAGAAAATATAGAAAAGCACAAAAATTTGTTCTACTTTGAAGTTTGAATATATAGGCTGCATATAACTCGATGGGCTCTATCACATATTGACACTTAAGATGGTGACTGTTATCACATTTGAAATTCGATAATGAGGGTGTCATATATGGACCTCTCATGTGGACCTTTATTTAGCCATAAGAAGATCATTTTATTAAACTTAAGTGAAGTTACTATTCATATGAATCATGTGGCTAATATAAAGGTCTACATCTATGATCTATATATGACATCTTCACCATAGAACGATTCGTCACCATATGCCTATTTAATCAACTCTTTTTTCCTCTTCTTTTTCAATGAAATGGCTTTGTTTTCATCTTTTTTCCAATCAGTAGTCACTAAAGTAAAGCTTGAACATGACCCCATATAAGCCAAATTATGCAAATCTAAAACTTAAACCCTTGATTAATTAAAGTCTTAATTAAAAAAATCCACATTGTCATTCCAAATAACCTATATTTACATCACCTACTTCAAGCTAAATAGTAATATGATTGGATTGGATTTAAACATCTAATATGATTAGACCAAATTGAAACAATCACGATCCAATCTATATTGAATCGGATGCGAATTGACTAAATTGTATTGGTTTCGAACCGATGTACACCCGGCATTCCCCTACATGTCAATATCAAAACTTAGAAATGGCCAACAGGTAACTTGCGACCCACTTTACTTTGCAACACGATATAGTTAAGAACTGGGGTCCTAGCATTTAGGCTTTCGAAAACATCCTATAAATATATGAGCTCAAGGAAATAAAATATAGAAAAGCACAAAAATTTGTGCTACTTTTAAGTTTGAATATATAGGCTGCATATAACTCGATGGGCTCTATCGCATATTGACATTTAAGATGGTGACTGTTATCACATTTGAAATTCTATAATGAGGGTGCCATATCCTCTCATGTAAACCTTCATATTAGCCATAAGATCATTTTATTAAACTTAAGTGAAGTTACTATTTAGATGAATCATGTGGCTAATATAAAGGTCCACATCTATGATCTATATATGACATCCTCACCATAGAATGACTCGTCACCATATGCCTATTTAATCAACCCTATTTTTCCTCTTTTTTTCAATGAAATGACTTTGTTTTCATTTTTTCCAATCAGTAGTCACTAAAGTAAAGCTTGAACATGACCTCATATAAGCCAAATTAGGCAAATCTAAAACTTAATCCTTGATTAATTTAAGTCTTAATTAAAAATTGCACATTGTCATTCCAAATCACCTATATTTACATTACCTACTTCAAGCTAAATAGCGCTTAAAGTGCGGCATTCTGCATAATAATAGTAATAACAATAATAATTAAAGTTCAAACCAAGCAGCCTAAAATTTTCCTAGCTACTTGCTAAAACATGACACATAGAGTGGTCCTATATGTTACTAGATCATGGAATTGGATTCAATAGAAGAGAATGCATCCAGAAGGTTGATCCAACTATCACCGTCCTCCTCGTCTTCCTCCCCACTTATGTGACTCCACTGAACAGGAGAGTTCTTCTCAATTTCGTCATTCCTTGCAAATCGTCCTCTGATGCGTGGCCGGCTGTCCGCCAACGTCTTCCGGCAAGCATACTGAATTCAGGAATGCTATATTAGTGCTTGTAATAGAAAGGGCAAAAGAGAAAGTTCAGGATGAAATGCACTGACATAAATACAAAAGTAACATGGTTCTATATTACTACTATCATTTGACATATATTAATACCCTTTTCTTAAGGAAACAAGAACATTTTGTGTGGCTGTTTGGGCAATTTATTATTCAATCAAAAGGGGGTTCATGCTTGTGCAATTCAGAGTTGGTTTCCAAGTAGAAGAAGTTAATTGATCTAGCACTAGTGCAAAAAACCAAAATTGATGTACCACTCTCTCTTGGGAAAGTTTACAATTTCAAACAGACATCCAAAGGGTAAGACAATAGAAGGTTGAACGTCTGTTATTACGACCTGCATAGACATAAAGATGGAATGAAAGTTGATCTGCAAACAGGATTAGTTAAGCATTATATAATTAAAAAGATATTGACCAGCAGAAAGGTAAAAAATTTTGGATTGTCGATATAATTAAAATTTTATGTGATAATTAAAGAAAATCGATTACAGTATTTCATACTAAATTGGAATTAACTTACTCAATTGCATCACATACCACAGATGGTGACAACCCCCATGAAAAATCACAACATACAGATACAGTAGGTGTTAGTACTTGAAAATAAGTATTCTATATTTCTTTCGCACGCTACACGTTGAAATAAAAGAAGTTAAAACGGAGTGCGAAGTGTAACTATTACACGAATCGGAGTGCCAAGGTTTAACAATTTCCATGCATAAATTATTCAAGTGCACAGATAGAATGTCATTTCATCCAATTTTTTCAAACAATTGTTGAGCTAGCTATGGCTATCCTATTGCATCCAAAAGACCACTAAAACTATCAACAGCGCATATGTCAAACGTGCACTAGCATATCTTTTACACTAGTTGAAAATGAAATAAAAGCAATGTAGGATGTGACACACACCAAAGCTTGGAATGATATATACATAGGAAGCTAAAATTTTACATGAAAATATAATTGATGTGAGCAATTGTGGGCCAAAAAGCAATAAGATAACTATATACACACACTCATGCCATAAAGCTTAAAGTAGAGCTAGCTAGTGGGTCATTGGGTCAAGCAGCAACTAGTCAAAAAAATTCGATTGATCTATTATATTTTGAAGCAAATTAAAAAAAATAAATAAATATATATATATTATTGAAGCAAATAAATAAATAAATAATTGAAGTAACCTTAATGGTCTTGTTGAAGTTCCTGAGGTTGCGCTTGTTTCTATACCTCTCAATTCTCTCTTTCTTCTCCTCAGGATTATATCGACAGGCTTTGCTCATCCCTTCTATGATCATACTGCTCTCACTCGACAAGGGACTAGTTTCTGATGATGATCTATTGTAACCACAATATTGCAATTGCTGTGGCATTCCATTGTTCATATTATTTATCAGCTGCATGCGTCCACAATATATATATTATGGCACAAAACACAAATAATTTCACTCGAACTCAACAACCCCACAAGAAATATTTACGAAGCAAAATTGCATAAATGTTATCTTGTCATACTGTTTTAAGAATATTTTAAACTACTAATTATGCTAACTTTTGTCGGCAATATTTGGGAAGTAAAATCGCACAAATGTTATCTCGTCGCCTTGTTTGAAGAATTTTCTAAAGTATTAATCATGTTAATTTTTGTCTGATTGTAGGATCATACACAGTAAATTTGAACTATTCACATCATGTCAAATTTTGTATGTATGTGTCGAAGTCTGTTAACATATATACAAACTATTGATTATGTTAGTTGTTGCTACGACTAATACAATTATTTATCGTACAACATATTGTTAAATCACTCTCATGCACCTAAAAACTTGATTATGCATTGTGATTAGTTTTTATGCGTATCTGTGACGGCGTATCTGTGAGGGTGTGAAATGGTAGAGAAAGAAATTAATTAATGTGGGCATTTGAGTCACTTTAGTTGAAGTAACTAAATTAACTAACTCTCTGTACATATCGAACCTGCAAATCCAAGTCTCCGGTGCTGTAAACCCTGCGGACGGGGCCGGTCTCCAACTCGAGCAAGTCGGAGACCAGCCTGTGAGTCCCGCAAGAGGTCTTCTGGAGCGAATGGCTGCTGACGCTGCGCTGAATCAGCGTAGCGCAATCACCAGTCCCGCTGCTGATCGGGGAGGCGCCGTAGCTGCTGGAGCCGCTGCTGCAGCTGTTGCTGAACTCAGCCGAGACGAGCAGCTGCTCATGATAAAGCAACGGATGAGCCGGTGGTGAGCCCTGGAACTGGAAGTCGGCGGCGCGTGGGAATGCGGTGCTGTTGTGTCCGTACATTGGCGCGTGGGTTTAGGGTTTTAGGAAGGGTTTGGGAGATTTTTGATGAGTGGAGTGCAGGAGTGAAGATGAATTTATGAACGTGGGCTGGAAGGCTGGGACTTTGCAGGGGTACTTAAAGAGCGAAGAGGGAGGAGGGAGGATGGGAAGGTGGGGCCCAGAGAGCAGAGAAGAGATGGGACAGGTCTGCAGGATGACGTGGACGATGATGTCACGCTATTGGGGGAAAAGCGTTGACCTGCTTCCTTCTTTTACCTACTTGTGTTGTGTAACTGTGTTCTGCTTCTACTGGAGGTTGGGGGT